AGAGAGAGAGAGAGACAGACAGACAGACAGACAGGCAGGCAGACAGACAGACAGACAGAAACAGAGAGAGTTAGAGGGCGGGAAAGAAAGACGATGACAGGCAGATAAACATCGAGACAGACAGTTGATTATGATGAATGTGGACATGTTGTTGATGGAGAAAAAAAACTCAAATGAGTAGACAGATGAAGAGAAATATTGTGAAGTTAAGCTAGGCCTGCGGTCTGCAGAGTTTATATATATATGAATACATTCTATATGCATATATATGACTTCGAGTTGGGGAAGTAAAGGACTATATTTTAAAAATAATAAATAAGATAACTGAAAAAGCAAGTGATATCGGGACTTTGATAGATTTAAAAAACATACAAAAATTGGTCTCTCGAAGTCAGGTGGGTGGGCAAGATGGGGTGAAAAAAAAATCCGTGGCCGAACCGAGGCTCAAACCTGGACTTTCTGCTTTGGAGACAAGCGCACTAACCACCCCGCCACCACGCCACTGTAAGCTACAGGCTTTAAAAATACTGCAATAGTGCTTTGCGGTTGTGTTGCCGCAGTGAACGACAACTAAGTGGGAATCCCTCAATGACGTCAAACAAGTTGGCTGTTACTATAAATATTAGCCAATGGCGTACATCTGTCGTTCTCAAGTTATCCGCATGTCACCATAACGCCTGAAATCTGAAACAGACGTCCTGGTGGCGTCAGTAGCCTAATGGTTAGGCTACCATACTCATAATCGTGAGACTGCGGGTTCGGGGGCTCGAGCCTCAGCTGGGCCAGACGTTGTGTCCTTGGGAAGGACACTTTACACGAATTTCTCATTTGGCTCGGTCCTTTCGGAGATGGACGTTAAACTCGGAGCTCCCGCCTCTCCAATAACCAAATAGTGTTGATAGGGGCGTTGAACTTATACAATCTCACCATTTTTTTTAAATCGGCCATTTATTTCTTTGTGGCTTTTGTGAAAGTTAAACGAGATTGACAACACGTATGGGTAATTTAATTGCCGGATAGGTATTACTAGAAAGTAACATTTAAAGAAAAGATGGAAGAGATATAAGGACAATGGATGTGTAATAGTAAAGAAAGAGCAAACCGCACCAGATCACCTACGAGTCATTTCTCTATTCTAATGCTCTTGTTTGTTTGTTTTGTTTTAGTATGTGTTTTTACGGCGCTCGCAACTGCATAAGGTCATATGAGCGCGCGGGACAC